ATTTTCCACCTGTCCGTTTTTCATAAAATGCATCTTAGGGAGCTTTTGGATTCAGCCTACAGAGAACATCCTTCTTGTTTTTGCCTGCATTGTGGATGTAGCACAAATTATTTAACCTTCCCCTGTGGGTGATATTTTTGACCTTTTGCTGTTGCAAAGCGTGTACGTACATCACCTTGCTCGTCCGCAGGTGTGTCTGTGGGTTCAGAATGGCAGTTGCCTATCTAAGGGTGAGCGTGGTTGTGATTTTGCAGGGTCACGGTAGTGTACCATGCAGTGGGGCTGTCCCTGTTTGCCCTCAACCTTCCCCAGTGTATCAGACGTCCCCCTCCCCTGCCCCACTGCCCCATGAGCGCCCCTCACCTGTCAGTGTGGTTGGGTTTGCTTACTGCTGTTCCGCATGGGGGGCGTCTTGTTAGGTATGTGAGGCCATTTGCATTTCTTTCCTGTAACCCTCATGCTTCTGTTCCACCTGGTTTTCTTTTGGAACCTTGGTCTATTTCTCATTGATTTCTTAGAGTTCTTTATTAGCGGATGAACCCTTTGCACATGTTTGATTTGATTTCTCCCTGGAAACAGCCCGGGACTGCATATCGGGCAGACCTGGAATTAAGCCCTATCTGTGTGACTCTGGGCATTTCACCAGACCTCTCTTGACCTCAGTTTCCTTATCTGTGGGGTGGGGCTCCTGCCTGCTTCCAGACTTGTTGGAGACTTATCACGAGACGGTGTGTGGTCTAGCCCCTGACGCAGGGGCTGGCGCGATGAAGTTGGAGGACATCAGAGGGAAGCACTCCAGCTCTCCGTTTATTTAATGCATTTAATAAACATCCGGAACCCGTGCCAGGTCCTGTTCCAGGTGCCGGGGCTGCCAGGAGAGACCTAGATGTGGCCCAGCCCACGACTGTCTCAGGCTATGTGGCAGCCACTAGCCACCTGTGCTTATTTAAATTTAAATTAGTTATTAATACAATTAAATATGATTAAAAATTCAGTTCCTCTGTCACCCCGGCCACATTCAAGCGCTCTGAAACCACATGTGGCTAGAGGGGACTGTGTGGAACTAGCAGATACAGAACGTCTCCATTGATCGCAGAACATTCTAATGGACGTCACTGGTCTGGGGGTTGGGCAGGAGGCCTCCATCCAGCGAGTGAGGGAGATTGTTCGTGCAGAGAGTGGTGAGTCCTGGGGAGATAGAAAGAGAGGGTGACAGGAGGTCAGGGAAGGGCTTTCGTGGGGAGGGACCAGAAAGGTGCTATCCAAGTAACAGAAGGGACCCAGCCAAGGCCTGTGGGGTGGGGGCAGGATGCCCTGACGTGGGGATTAGCTTGCGATGTGGACATTTGAGGGATCCCCAGGGGACAAGGGTGCTGGCCCCCACTGAGAGGCAGGCGGGGCCCAAGCATAAGGACAGGCTGAGGGTACCAGGAAGTCCCCGCAGGGCTCTGAGCACCACGGCCGCAATCTGTGTCTCAGAGAACGCGCCTCCGTTGGCTGCCCTCTGAGTGTGGACCGAGGGGTTGAGGCTGGAGGCAGGGAGGCCAGCACGGAGGCTGCCACTGTCTTCGAAGAGGTGACAAGGTCCGCACCAGGGTAGTGACCTAAGAGATGGAGGATCAGTGGCATGTTTTTTTTAGGTAACAGCTTTATTGAGATATAATTCATGTCCCATAAAATCACCCATTTGAAGTGTACAATTCAGTGGCTTTTAGTATATTGATAGAGTTGTACAACCACTTTCTCTCTCAATATTAGAGCATCTTTGTCACCCCCAGAAAACCCCCTACCCAGTAAGCGGTGACTTTGCATGCCCTCTTCGCCTCCGCTTCTGGGCCCCCACTAATCTGCTTTCTGTCTGTGGAGTTGCCTGTTTGGGACATTTCACATAAATGCAGTCGTGCACTGCGTGGGCCTTTGTGGCCGGCAGCTTTCCCATAGCGTCATGTTTTCAGGGTTCATCCACGTGGTAGCGTAGAACAGAACTCCATTCCTTCCTGTGGTTGAGTTCTATTCCACTGCATGGGTGGGCCACATGTCACCCGTCCATCCACCTGTGGATGGACATTTGGGTTGTTTACAGTTCTGACAATTGTAAGGCTGCCGTGAACATTGACGTATAAGTTTCGGTGTGCGTGTGTGTTTTCATTTCTTCGTACGTACACCTAGAAGCGGAACTGCAGAGTCTTATGGGAACTCTAGGTTGCACTCTGGAGGGACTGTCAGACTGCCTTCCAGAGCAGCCGCACCGTGTGACGTCCCCACCAGCAGAGCGTGAGGGTTCCGGTTCCTCTGCACCCTCACCTGCAAGGGTTCTCACCTGTGTTTTTGACTGTCGCCATCCTAGCGGGTCAAGTGTGAACTGGTATCTCATTGTGGTTTCCATTTACATTTCCCCAGTGGTTACTGATGTTGAACATCTTTTCACGTGCTTACTGGCCATGTGTATATCTTTTTTGGAATAATACCTATTCAGATCCTTTTAATTGGGTCATTTGTCTTTATTATTGAGTAGTCATTATTCTTTATATTAATATATTCTGGATACAAGTGCCATATTAGACATACACTTTGCAGAAACTTTGTCCTGTCCTGTAGGTTGCCCTTTCACTTTCTTATAGATTCCCTATAAAGCACAAAAGTTTTTGATTTTGATGAAGTTCATTTTATCTATTTTTCTTT